CTGGGCTCGATCCGAGAACCCTGGGATCATGACCCGAGCCAAAGAGCCCTCTACTACCCCACTGTTGTGACTATCAAAAAATACCTGACAGCAAACCATAAGAGGACTCTTAAGCATAGGAAACAGACTGAGGGTTGCTGGAGGGGAGACGGGTGGGGGGGCGCGGATAGGATAACTGAGTGTGGACATTAAGGAGAGCACGTGATGTAATGAGCACTGGGTATTATATAAGACTGATGAATCACGGACCTCTACCTCTGAAACCAATAATACATTATGTGTTCATTGAATTTAAATAAAAATTAAAAAAAAAACCAAGACAACTAAAGTAGTATGCTATTTTTAGAGATCCTAAAGATCACCTACAGATGGAAATGATTTATGAAAGGAACAAAATTTTGGAAAAGGTTAAAAACAAAAGAAGGAAATGCTCAGGATCAAGATTCTAACTCATGATTTCCTTACACTCAGCACATGCTGACAATTTTAGTAGGGATGGTCCCATTAAAGAAATATAACTCTCGTTTTTTTAAGATTTTATTTATTTATTTGAGAGAACGAGAGAGAGCATGAGCATGGGGGAGCAGCAGAGGCAGAGGGAGAAGCAGACTCCCCGCTGAGCAGGGAGCCGGATCTGGGACTCGATCCCAGGACCTTGGGATCATGACCTGAGCCGAAGGCAGACGCTTAACTGACTGAGCGACTCAGGCGCCCTGACAAATTTAACTCTTAAAAAAATATGTATATATATACCCTGACAAATTCCAAACTGCCTGTTAGGGGGCAGTACTGCTCCCTTGAGAACCACTGCTCTGTAGTAACAAACTAATGTATGAGTGTACCTGCCTGTCCCTTTCCCCATCTGTATACATACAACTACATTTTTATAATTATGGCGAGTAAATTGATAATGTGAGTTAAAGACATAAAATTTACTGGCTGTTTCTCTTGGCTTCATGTATGAAATCTGAGTGGTGATCCCATTTGGATACTTCCTAGTCTTCCCTTGTACAGTCTGAACCAAAACACAACCATAATCCAGTTACGGGGAGTGTGAAACAGATCATCATCCTATGAGTGGGCTCCACTGTTTCTCTTCACTAGTTCAGATGAAAGGGAAACTGTTTCCTCCAGACCAGTGTTTCGTGTACTGAGGGAAAAAGTTAACTTTTTTTTTTTTTAGCTGGCAGGGCTTCGTGTTTAAAAATGCAGCTGAATTTAATCACATATTGGTAACTATTAGCATATACATATGAAATATCGTCTTGAAATAGAATCAAACTTTACCTTGCATGTATATACAGAAAATGAAAACAAAAAATTGCTAAGAAATTCTAGAGAACTTGAACA